GTAGCTTGGTCCATCACCTGGGACAGGACTGATGTAGGAATAGTGGTAACATCAGTAGATGATGCTGCAAGGGAAAGAATTAAAAGAATTGAAAGAATTCAAGAATTATAAACAAGTAAATTATATTTTGACCTGTGAAGGATAATAGGAACTCAGCCCATAACAGAATGATAAACAAACAGTTGAAAGTTTTCCTTGGAACGTCAAACGGAAACAATTTTTTTTACAACGGATTAAGAAACCGTTTAAACGTTTTTGTTACAGCATTAAACGGATGCAAATTTTTTAAACGGATGAGCAAACTGCCTAAACGTTTTACCAAAAGTGTTAAACGGATGCAAATTCTTTAAACTGATAAGCAAACCACTTAAACATTTTAACTAAAGCGTTAAACAGATGCAAATTTTTTTAAACGGATGAGCAAACCATTTAAATGCTTTCATGAACTGTTTAAACAGATTTAAACAGATAGTAAACGGTTTTGTTTAAACAGAAAAGCGTTAGTGTTCGTTTTCCCATGGAGGGTCACATATTCTCCATAATGTTCTCTATATAATTATTTCCTAAGGTGCTGACAAGGAGAATTAAATTTTGTTTAACAGTCCACAACTTCTCTAGCTGGCAATCATTTCCATTTTATAGTGACCTCTCTGTTTCAGGGGACTATGAGGGGTTTAAGCCTTTACCCTAACACTAGTATGCATATTCTCCATACTGTTCTCTGTAGATCTCCTAAATTCTGACTGGGAGAATTCATCTATCAATCAAGAAGTTCTGTAGTAGGCGATTGTTTCCTTCATTCTCACGACCTTAATTTTTGATTCAAGGCTGATACTTTAATGAGAAATTAAATGCAAGTCACTCTTGGGGGTCAAAAAGGTTAAATGAATGAATTTGACTTTAACCCTTTCACTCCCACAAGTGATCAAGACAGAATTTCTCCTTACAATATCAATACAATATCAAGCAGGTAAGTGATGAGAATAGAGAAGAATATCAATTATGGGATTAGTTGATCCAATACCAAATTCTCTGAACTAACATTATAAGAATTGTATAGCAGATAGTAAGGAGAATTATTAATTAGATCTTGGGAGTGAAAGGGTTAAAAAGAAAGACTGAAATTACCATTATCAATAACCATCTCTTCTTGAACTAGATTAACCTGTCCTTCACTGGAGGTAACCTCTGTACCACTACCTGCCTCCACTACTTCCAGGTATACTGCAGGTTGGTCTCCCTGTCCTGACTCCATGTTTGCTCCAGGCTGAATTGCCACATACAATGTTTGGGGCTGCTGTGTTTCAGTGTCATTAGCAGACGTTGTAATGTCTTGGGAAGCCACATCTGCCTCTGAAATGACTTCACTTTCACCCTGGGTTCAAAAAATGTTTGAGACTAAGTTTAAAGGCAATCGGAACTCATAAATAATTTAGTGGAGTGGGCCTGTCACAATTGTGATTGACCACAAACTACTTGAGAAAATCCATCTCAACCTTAACTCAAAGCCTTCAATGACAATTTTTTTACTGTAATATATTTCTTTTTAACCCTTTAACTCCTGTGAGTGACTGAGAGAGAATTTCTCCTTATAATAATTATTAATACAATATCATGCAGACAAGTGATGAGAATAAAGAAAAATATCAATTATGGGGTTGCTAATTGATCCAATACCAGATTCTTCAAACTGACAGAATGAGAATCATTTGACAGATAGTAAGGAGAATTACTAATGAGATCTTGGTAGTAAAAGGGTTAAAGTTTAGCTTGTATAATTTCCAATAAAATAAAAAATCTATGTTCTCTATCAATATTTTGCTTTGTTCATATCACTTTCATTGCAAAATGGTGACTGATATGGAAGTTAGCATGGAGCCATGTCTAAGATTAACATACCTGATGGTCTCCTGTATTCACTGGGCCACCTGTGTCAGTACAGTGTTGTTCTTGTGGTTCTTGCTGCTGGTCAACTGCAGAAGTAGTTTTAGCAGCAGACAGAAAAGATTGATCTTGAGATTGTATATTAGAGTTTGCTGCATTTCCATCTGTTAATACTGCTGTTGCTGCTGATTTCAAACAGACAATAAAAATGATAATTTTTAGGTAGGTAAAAAGCCAAGGGCTTTGTGTTAATAGTAAAAATGCATCCTTTATAAGGAAATAATAATTTCCTCGATGAAAGAACACACAGTTCACGGCTGCAGAAACTGATGGTCAGAAAATTTCCAAGATAACTAAGTAGGGTTGTGCCAACATCAAACTCAACTAAACATCTCCTGTTTACTAACATAAGCCCACTTCAAAATCAGTTGTTCACAACATCAGCCTATACATTGTAGCTACTTCAAGACTACTTTTTGTCAACATCAATCCACTTTAAAACTAAATTTATTTTTATCAACATTGGCCTACTTTAAATCCTAAGAAAACCCTACTACCATTTCTTCTATGGTGCAGGTAATCATTAAAACCATTTCTGAAGTTTGAAAGACACAGGAAGGGATAGTCAGAATTAAACATTCTGGTGGCACATGGAGAGGTTCCTATAGCACCCTGGAAGGTTCAGATCATTCAATAAGCGTTTCACAGGAAAATAAAATAATTCTAGGTTAGTCAGCCTTTTTATAATTTTCATAATTAAAACTTCCTGTAAAATTTTGTTACAATCATTGATTTTAGTTTGCGATTAGAATTAAATCCAGGTTAGTTTACCCTTTACTCAGGGTATTGCTCTGCTGCATTAGATGAGGAATGTTTCCACATATCCTTTGGCCACATCTAAAGAGTGGTTTTTAGCAGTTTTTCAGATCTGGCATAGCACAGGTTCTTTCTGCTGTACCCTTAGTTTCCCTGTACACATGTTCAGATTGTACGCATATACCAGGCTTATCTTAAATAAACTTTTCATATTGAATGTCTCATGTGAGTGTTGTCATATCTCATTTTAACTATTAAAGCACAACATTCAGTGATTTCAAATATGGGCCTTCATTCTATTTCGATTTCCACAATTTTGAGTCGCTACATTACAATGTTTTTAGTAAAGTGAGAATTCTGCAGACCTCAAAATATAGGGGTATTGAAACAGTCGGTAATCAATTATTCACTAAGTGAGAATATTCACTGGATAACCTATCCTGTGAACATTTTGAAATGTTTTTACTCTTATGCTTTCTTAGGTACACAACACACTTTGAATGCAATGGCGAACGCTCGAAAACTTCCCGAATGCTAATGTAGACTGACTTCGCACAAGATACGTTTCTTTAATCCTTCGTCAGTACTTTTGACTCCTTTTCGTCCAATTCAGTAAGGCTTACATTTGACGGCGCCGTTCGAAAATCAAAGCAAATATCCTCCTGCTCTGTTTAGTTGGGCGAGAAATACAACTCATAAGAATGAACAAAGGCAATTTATGGTTCATCGGTGTCGCTAATATCAGATCACCGCGCTGTGAACACTTTACGAATTTACACGGCAAGGGGAAACACGAACCGCATGTTGATGTCGTGTAAGGCCGTTCTTGCGAAACCTGCCATTCTCCCGCAGGAAAAGTTTCAAACAAGAATTACTTAGTCTACAAACAGATTTACTACACAGCCCGAACCGTTTATCGTTTGAGATACTTTTCGGAGGTTTCTTGAGCACAGAAAACTGCGAATGAGTGCGAAACAAAAGTAAAATATGGCGTCGACCGATATGCTGTTGTTTGAACTGGCTTTGAGGGAAACCATGCGATCAAACTTGGAATTGGCCGGCTCCAAAGCATCATACCTTTCTGACTAACACCAGAAAAAATTACTTCGAAAGAAATAGCTCAAAAATAAGAAATAATCAGAGGAAGGTCAGCGGAAATCGTAGTATCTTCCACAAAATCCCGCTGACCCTCCCAAAACGACAAACAACGCTGTTTCGACCGCATGGATGAAGTGTGGGCTCGAACGAACGCAGTTTTGGCCAACTTTTATTTGGATGATGAACTTAATTATCTCATGGATCGGTTTAAAGTATTTCTCAAGAGCTGATATTTCGATGCACCCGAATTAAACAAAAATCTAAAACGAAATGCTTCGTTTCTTCTTGTAACGGCATCAAGCGAATTTTGGCGGGCACGATGAGCGAGAGGTTTTTTAGTTCTGAGAGCCTCTGGATTTATTATTACAGGGTGAAAAGCCGTTATTGAAGTAACCCAGACTTACAGTTGTACCCTCCCGTCGCAAAACCGTGTAAAAATTTTAGTATTCAGCCGTCTTACCTTCTTCTTGAATGCTCGAGGACGCCATTTTTCTGAACGAATGCACCCAGAATACCCTGCGATCTGTAAAATGAAAAATACTTGAAATTCAAAAATTTGATTAATTGTTAGCATTGTTTCTATTAATAAAAAAAAAATGATATCTTCATATAATTTTTTTTGATTCTCTAAAACGTCCGAGGTTTAAGCAAAATCAGGGGAAATGAAATCACCAGAAATTGTATTGAGGGAAACAAAAAGTTTTCTCTATATGTGGCCTGACAGCAAGTTTGGCGGGCCTCAATTAATTTGGCTTAAATTTTGTAAGTAAATAATTATCAATCTTTTATGTTGGTAATTTGCAATAATTTTTTTGACGATCGTTGCCTCTTTTTCACTTTTCTAGCCTACAAGAAAAGTGGTCAAAATGTGGTTGCGCCCCGTGTGCCAATTTTTTCGTTCGTACAACATTTTGACGTCATCGGTGACGTCTGTGATCCATTATTGAGAAGGCGCAGGGCAATATTAGAGATTAAAATTACTTGAATATGCTTATTCGGTGATTACCTGATGCACCTGATCCAAAACTTCCATGGAATTAAAGACTTAGCCGCAAATATCACAAATATCTCTACAATTTCTTTTTTTTTTTAATATTCAAAAGTATTCGAGAAAAAGTAAGTTTTTATCTTTTTTTTTTCTTCCAGTCTCTTTTAGTTTTATTCTTTTTTTTTCTTTTTTTTTTTTTTTCGTTTTGTGATATTTAGGAGTGTCTCGAGTTCCAGCCCAAAGGATAGTTAGGCGGAACAACAAGACATTTTCGGCTAAGTGCGAACGACATCCAATCAGGTGACTCGACCCCAAGCATCTGCGGAGGACCACTTGACCTTCCTCGTCGGCGAGCCCGGGCACCAGTCTTCTTTCTACACTCATTCACTGGTGCACACTCTTGCACTGAAGTCTTCCTCTACCAAAAAAAGGAATGATGATGATGATGATAGTAGCAATGATAATGACAACGATAAGAATAATAAAGATGACGACGATGAAAATTATGACGATGATGATTTCAAATACATATTCCAGACCTGTGATGCGGGAACAAATTCCTTTGCTAAGGGATTCAGTCGAGAGGTCAGGCTCTCGCTTGTGGTATCTCGTGGGCTGTTGAAGAAACAAAAAGAAAATCCGTCATTTAACAACTATAGATAAAAAATCTCCACACCCTTTGGGATCCCACACCCCTTATGACTGAAACTGTATAAAAATTGTTATCAGTTCCGTGGGATTTGGTACCTAATTAATTCGCTCAGAGCGACATCAACCATTTCGACTTTCCCGCCTCAGCCGATTGACGATTAGATCACGTGAAAACGAAACAAATTTTGCCGGGTAAAGTATTCAAGACATTTTCGTCGATATACATGAACACGTTATGAGAGTCACACTTTAACAGTCACGCTTTTAATAGTGCGTTAACAGTTTTTATTATCTAGATACTGATGAAATACCAGGATTTTTCCTTTTACTAAAAAATCATATCTTCATCGCCCGTAGTGAAGATACTATTTTTATCTTTCACGTGTGAGAATATTGGTGTCGCCATGGTTACTAACATGATTAGCCAATTACAAGAGAGCTTTCCGCTCAGGCGCGCGGCCGGTTCTTTTGAAATTTCATCAGTATCTATAAAGTAAACAGAACATTACATGGCCTCTTGGGGGTACGAATTCTATCTTCTCGTGCTGAGAGACGATAAAATTTGTATCCCCTTGCGGCCATGTAATATCCCCTATTTATTTTAGCAAAAGACAACATGCTAATCCAAACGGGTTAAGTTGACGTTCCAAAGTAAATGTTTCAACAAAGCTTAGCTTTATATAAGTGATTAAAGTCTAAAATTCCCACTTTCAAGATACCAGTTCTAGTTTGATAACAGAACAGCGCAGTTCTTCGCATAAAATTCACCCATTAGAATTTCAGAAAAGCTCAATTATGTTTCTTCGCCCTCAGTGTAGCCAGTGACAAAGCAAATTATTGTCTTCACCTTAAAAAGCTAAATATTCTACCCATTAGTATCAGAAGTTCCAATTTAAGTCCCACTGATTTCGGTTACCTTTCCTGCTCTGCAGGTGGTGATTCTATTCCCTGAACATCAGGGGCGACAGCATTCCCCTCATGATCAGAATGGTATTCATCTGGGGTGTCAACTTGGGTGTCAACTTGGAGATCCTCTTTTTCAGGACTCTGTGTATCAAACGAAATGAAAAGAGAATCAGAAAATGTTAGGTTTCTCTCCATTTTTGTTCAAATGTACAAAAACGTAAAATGAAAATCATTTTATCAGGAGAAAGGGCTGGGGCAAAAAAATAAATTTGAAACTTAAAAGTAACTTCAGGGTCATGTGCATTTTGTCAGTAATATTTTTTTTTTCACATTTTAGACTACTTGTCTGAAGGTGCCTGTGTCAAACAAAGCAATAGCAAATTAACCGTTTACACGGAAATTGACTCCATCAGTCGCTGTTATTTTCTGGTGTATGAGCACATTAAGAACAGTAAATTAACTTACATTTTCCTAGCAATGTCTATTTTACAATGATATCTGACCGACATTATTAATATTCTGTCATCCGATATCAGATGTATTTTTTTCTTAGAAATCGGGGATACACCACCGGCTCGAAAGCGTTGATACGTAATCGATACTATTTATTTTGTTGTTGTTTATTTCATTTCGAGATGCCATTTCCCTTACAGTGACATATGAGCAACATTTTTTTCTTTCCAGATATCAGCAGCTTAGCTGCTCAAACTCTGAATATCTTCTGCTATTCACTTACGAGCAACGCGTGCGGGATTTTCACACAAAAATGTTATAAACTTTGCAGTTTACGACAGAATTCTCTTCTTATGCTGTGTTATCTCCCTGTTTTAGTGTATACTCAAACAACTATTTACCTCTGTGTCGATGAATAGCAGTGGATATTTACCTCACCGCTTTAAGTCTCGGTAAATATCCACCACTAGCCATATCCAATTCGGTAAATAGTTGTCAAATATCAACTTTGCAGCCCCACCCCCTTCCCAAGTCCTGGCTCACCACGTCTCCGCTCTGGTCCAAACCATTTGAGTTCTGAACTGCAGCCTGCGTCTCAATCATTTCCTGGTCAGCAGCTTCAGTGGTAGCTTGAGCCTGCATTAGCGGCTGATCAGCGATATCTGGGATCTCTGTTGGCTCTACCTTCGACCCAGCGGTAGGTACTACCTCAGGCATGATGCTCACCACAGTCTCGACAACGGACTGGCCCTCATCAGCTTCTGTGACAGGATCCACTGAAGATGCAGCTGCAGCGGTGGCTTGAGCCTGTATTAGTTGTTGATCAGCGATAGCTGGGATCTCTGTTTGCTCTACCTTCGACCCAGCGGTAGGTACTACCTCAGGCATGATGCTCACCACAGTCTCGACAACGGACTGGCCCACATCAGCTTCTGTGACAGGATCCACTGAAGATGCAGCTGCAGAGGTGGCTTGAGCCTGTATTAGTTGCTGATCAGCGATAGCTGGGATCTCTGTTTGCTCTACCTTCGACCCAGCGGTAGGTACTACCTGAGGCATGATGCTCACCACAGTCTCGACAACGGACTGGCCCTCATCAGCTTCTGTGACAGGATCCACTGAAGTTGTAGCTGCAGCGGTGGCTATAGCCTGTATTAGCTGCTGATCAGCGATAGCTGGGATCTCTGTTTGCTCTACCTTCGACCCAGCGGTAGGTACTACCTGAGGCATGATGCTCACCACAGTCTCGACAACGGACTGGCCCTCATCAGCTTCTGTGACAGGATCCACTGAAGATGCAGCTGCAGCGGTGGCTTGAGCCTGTATTAGTTGCTGATCAGCAATAGCTGGGATCTCTGTTTGCTCTACCTTCGACCCAGCGGTAGGTACTACCTCAGGCATGATGCTCACCACAGTCTCGACAACGGACTGGCCCTCATCAGCTTCTGTGATAGGATCCACTGAAGTTGTAGCTGCAGCGGTGGCTTGAGCCTGTATTAGCTGCTGATCAGCAATAGCTGGGATCTCTGTTTGCTCTACCGTCGACCCAGCGGTAGGTACTACCTGAGGCATGATGCTCACCACAGTCTCGACAACTGACTGGCCCACATCAGCTTCTGTGACAAGGTCTGCTGAAGTGGAAGCTTGAACAATGACACCGTCTTTCATGAGCTGCAAAGAAAGGGGTTAGTGATCACTAATCGACAGAAGGGGGGTGGGGGCTATAATCAACAAAATACCCTACCTTGCATTTTTCTTCGGAACGTAAACTATCCATCATTTCCATGGAGTATAAATTGCTTGCCACAAAGTAGTGTAGTGACAAACATCTTGACTTTAGCAAGTGTTTCAATTGATAGATAACGTCTGTGTTATCTCCCCGTTTTATTGTATACTAAAACAACTATTCACCTCTGTGTTGGCGACTAGCGGTGGATATTTAACTCACCGCTTTGTGTCTCGGTAAAAATCCACTACTAGCCATATCCAATTTGGTAAATAGTTGTTAAATATCAACTGTGGAGACCCCCCCGTGTCCTGGCTCACCACGTCCCCGCCCTGGTCCAAAACACTTGAGTCCTGAACTGCAGCTTGCGTCTCAATTATCTCCTGGTCAGAAGCTACAGCGGTAGCTTGAGCCTGCTGGTCAGCGATAGATGGAATCTCTGTTGGCTCTACCTCCGACCCAGCGGTAGGTACTTCCTGAGACATGGTTTTTACCGCCGTCTGGACAACAGACTGGCCCACATCAGCTTCTGTGACAGGATCCACTGAAGTGGAAGCTTGAACAGTATCCCCGTCTTGTATTAGCTACAAAGAAGGGGGCCACTTATCACTAATCGCCGGAAGGGTGGAGGACTTTAGGGAATCATATATCATATGGCTTTCAGAGGGAACAGAGGTGGATCAGTTGACATAGTATAAAAGGAGGGAGTACAGAATCAATGCAGGGAAATCATAAGAATATTACAGAGCCTTTTGGCTCCCACCTGAGGCATGGCGCTCATCACCGTCACGACAATGGACTGACCCACATCAGCTTCTGTGACAGGATCCACTAAAATGGAAGCCTGAACAATGTCTTGCACGTGCTGCAAAGAAAGGGGCCATTTATCAATAGTCGCTTGGTTTTCGGGGGTACAGAGGTAGATCAGTTGTCGCCAATAGATTATTAAGGGGGGCGTACAGAAAACTGACTGGTGAGTAACTACCAATACAGGGAAATCATTAAAATATTACAGAGCTTTTTGGGAAGCAGGTGTATTTAATCGAAAACCAACCCAATTTCTTCGCGCCGTCCTCCTTCTCCCTCCGGCAGCTCGCTAACTAAGTTTCATTTAGGCCAAGCATCTTTGCCGTTTATCTCTCAGGTATCTCTGCCAGCATCTCTTAGAGTTTCGAGAGGCTCTTCACCAGAATTACTGCATTGACATGAGTTCTTAAAGCTTTTGGATCATAGTTTTGTGTGTATAAAAAATAACAAAAATATCATTTACACTGACAAGCAATCAGTGGTCAGACTGGAATTTGAGTCCTTGATTGTCGATTCTAACGGACGCACGATATGTTGACATTTTCTTTTGGTCTGTTTTTGACAAGCAAGGCAACCGAAAACAATAAGATACCCTACCTTACACTTTTCTTCGGAACGTAACCTGTCCATCATTTCCATGGCGTATAAAATTGCTTGCCATGTAGTGACAAACATCTTGACTTTATCAAGTGTTTCAATTGATAGATAACGTCACAAAGGCTCGTAACGTAAAGCTAACCAGATAATATATTGCGCGCGCTTTTCTAATTGTTAATGAAAAAAATTCGAAGAACTAGCTCGTTCCCAGTCGACTTAAAAGCGCAGAAAATCGCCAAGGGCAGGATGGGGGCGCAAATTGTCATGGGTAGTGCGGTATACCTTTAAAAGACGCTCTAGACGACCGGAGACGAGTCAGGAAATAGAAAGCAAGGGAAAAACAAAACTTACATCGTTTTTTTTTTCTATTTTTTTGTTTGCTTTAGGCCTTCAATTGAGGAATTCTGTTTCTCACACCCTCGCACAAGGGATTAGTAATTATTGGGGGGGGGGGGGGTCAGTCATTTTCAACATAAAGAGGGGGATTATAAACATTTGACAGTAGTGAGGTGGATGATCAGAATACTGCAAAGTCCTTGGCCCACCCTTCCCCTTGCTCCCTGATAACCCGCCACTCTGATTGTGATAACGCTGATTGGGATAATGGTGGGGCAAGTGGAAAAGGCAAGGGGCAAGAGGAAAGCGGGAGGAACAACAGCGAGGAGGGGGAAGGGGTTGGGAGAAGTGGAGAAGATTGGGAGGGAGGAAGGCTCATGAATAAGGGTGGGGAAGAGCCTGTTGGATATAAAGGGCATCAGTTCATTGGTGTGAACTTGCCTCTTCTGCGAAAGTGTATTTTGTCTGTCACTTACGCGGTCAAAAGATAGGCGCTGTAGGTTATTTTCTTTTCTTCAAACTGTAGCGAAACTCTTCCAATACCTAGGGACTAGAAAGGGTAGATTGAATTCCCCGTAATTTTTTTCGAGCACATTTCGACGATATATGATATTTGATGTCATGATGATTATGAAGGATCAGAAACAGATTATGAAAACCAACGACAGGAAAACTAAACTTTTTAAAGACTGCGCTAAAGGCGTGTTTGTCATCGTCTTTCGCCTCTGTGAAGTTGTCACACAATTTTTTTCGTCAGTCATCGTTATTGCATAGTATTAACCATGTGCTCGCAAGTTTTGCCGCACTGCAAATAGAATACGATCCGCCCTCCTTTAATTTTCAAAGAAATCCGTCGCGCGAGTTAAAGCCAATCAGCAGAAACAGTATTTGATTCCACGCCGCGCAGAACCCTGAGAGTAGGCCTCACCCCGCTGAGTTTCGCTCGGCTTACGAAACATGATTTTCATTCGCCTAAGCAAACTCTTGTAATCGGACAGACCATAAGCACCTTCAGCTATCAGCCAAGAAAACTCAACTGCCAGGCCAATACTGCCCAATCAAAATGAAAAAACTTTTCAAGTGACTTGCTGCAGGACAAAGGTCCACATTTAAAACAAAAATTTATTAATAGGAAGCATTAGTATTCATGCATAAGATGATTCATTCTGGTTTTTGTTTTTCATTTTGTTATTTGAACTTCGTGTCATACAATTTAGTTGTACAGCACTGGAGATATCACTTCCAACCTCACTTCGGTCAAAGTCCCTTTGACCATAAATTATACTGAACAATATTAATCTCGTCTTAATTTTTTGTTTAGCTATCTGTCTCTACGGCTTTTGTTTCCATTCATTTAATTTTAATTTCGTTAGCAAAATGATTTTTGTACAAGAGAAACCCTCCTCTATATTCCGGAATCAGTCACCTTTTCTTCGTAACAAATTGATGTCTCTTTAACTGTTACAGTCACGTGTTTTGATAAGTATTACAAATGCCATCCCTTCTTGATTTCCTGATGAACAGGAAAATCGGACATCCCCCTCATGATCATGTTAACTTGGGGAACATCTTTTTCAGCGCTCTGTGTATCAAAGGAAGCAACAAGAGAAGTAGAAAATATTAGGTTTCTCACCATTCTTGGTCTAATATTAAGAAAAGGCAAGATGGAAATAACTTTATTATGAGTAAAAGCTGCGGAAAAAAGTGAATTTGAAATTCAGATATGGACGCGAACTTGAGAAGTAAATTAAAGTCATCTGCGTTTTGTCTGTAATATCTGTTTTGTCGAAATGCCAGACTGCCTACGGTGCTATTTGCTTCGTGTGGTGTTAAAGTGCTTGAACGCAACTACGTCAAAAAAGCTAAGCAACATGGAATTAACCAAGTATACGGAAAGAGAAAACTCTGCCGAGGTGAACTCTGTCCCTGTCAATTTCTAGTACATGAATACACTAAGACTAATAAATTAAGTTACATTCTCTTAAAAATGTCTGTTTTTAGAAATGTCAGACAATTTATAATATCTCACCGACGTTTTCTTATTTCCAGACGTAGATATTTTCTTTTGGAAAGCCTGATATGTCATCCATACTGGTTATTTTGTTTTCTTTTTCTGAGATGCCAGACCACTTACAGCGATATATGACAGGCGTTTTTTCCTCTTCAGGCAATAGATGTTTTGATTTAGTATATATTAAAACAGTGGAAAGCGTTAAAGGCGCGCTCTGATTGTGCTATATTATTTCACTGTTTTAGTCACCAACTGCAGGCTGTGTTTCCAGTACCTGTTGGTCGACCAACAGGTACTGGAAACACAGCCTGCAGTTGGTCACCAACTGCAGAGGGAACTTGAGTTTGCATTAGTTGCTGATCAGCGCTGAGTCGGAGGTGTCTATTGGGGGTGCTGTGACAGTTACCGACCATATGCTCCAATTATTGGACATACCTGTTCCGTCGAAAAGAAGACCAAAGAGCCAATACGGAGGAAGAACCGTATTTAATTTAATAACACAATTCGATCTAAAATACAAAGAAACCACTCGGCCTTACAAGTGTTCCAAACAAACAGAAAATTGCTGTAATAACCTGGAAACCAACTGAAAACTTACTTCTTGACTGCCTCCGTACTTGTGGTAAATAACTGGTAAGTGATATTAAAATAACTAGTCAGCTTGCTTGCAACTGAACTGAACAACTGAACAACTAGACTACGCGTCTAAAATTAAACGTTTTACGCGATAAACATTGCGATAATTATTGCGATATATGAATTCAAACGAAGCGCGCGCGGAATAGTAAACATGAATAGCACGCGCGTTAAATTTAACAATTATTAGTTATAATAAAATATATTGTTCCGTGAAACAATACCTACCGAGCTAGCGGTAGGTATTTCCACTATCTGAGGCGTATGGTGTCCTATGCCGTCTCGAAAACAGATTGGCTCAAATCACCGGCAGCGCTGGGTCGGAGGTGTCTATTGGGGAAGCTGTGACAGCGACCGATCGAATGTCTCAAGTAGTGGACATACCTATTGACCATCAGTAGGTACTTTCACTACCTGAGGCATATGGTGTCCACACCTGTCTCGACAACGGATTAGTCCGCATCAATGGCAGAGATACAGAGCTCTAACCATTTAACTCCCATAAGTGACCAAGACATAATTTCTCCTTACAATATCAATACAATATCAAGTAGACAAATGTAGAGAATAAAGACAAATATCAATCTCTGTTCATTTTCGACACAATCCTCTCATCCAAATGCCTTGACAGCCATTTTCTGTCACTACATGGCAAACGATATAGCATATTTCTAGAGTGTAAGAACACTTGCCACGTAGTGACAAACATCTTGACTTCTACTTTATCCAGTGTTTCATTTGATAGATTACGTCACAAGGGCACGTTATGTAAAGTTAAATAAATAATCTATCACCGTGCGCTTTTCTAATTGTCAATAAGAAACTTCTATAGAACTGGTTCGTTCCCAGTTGACTTAAAAAAAAAAAAAAGCGCGGGCAGCCGACGAGGACACGATGCGAGCGCGGAGTGTTATGTGTTGTGTGGCGCACATTTTGAAGATGACCGGAGATGGGTCAGGCAGTAGACAGCAAGGGGACAGAAAAAGACTTACAGGGTATTGAATGAGATTTGTCGTTTCTGTCATAGTTTTTTGTTGCTGTTGTTGTTGTTGTTGTTGTTGTTGCTTTAGACCCAAAAGAAGTCTGTTTCTCGGACCTTTAGATGAGAGACCAATAATTTTTTTTATCGCTGGGCGGAGGGGGAAGGGGAGGAAGGGAAAATTTTTTTAGGTAATCACATGGTTCTCAGTGGTAACGGAAGGGCGGATCAGTCGACGCTAAAAGAGTAGATCAAGAGGGACTATAGAAAACGAACTGCCAAACAGGGGGTCAATTTTGCTTCTAAAGTAACCCCCCTTCTCAGCCCGAGGGAGAGAGAGAATTATGACCAGACGAAGTGAAGGTTCCCCTTGATCTAGTCCTCTGCCGAGGGCAATAGGAATCGGAGAGACCCTGAGTACTAGGTTGAGAGGGGACATGTAGTTACCAGTTTCTATCGATGACGCGCCCAGTTTATAATCAACTCAGACGACTTACACGATGATTCATTTTTATCGTCAGGCAGTGAAGAAAAATATTTACATGTAGTCATCCCGTATCTTACATTAAGTGTTCTTACGCATGCGCAGGCGAACTAGAGGTCCTAGAAAGACTGGAAAGGAATTGTGTGGACCTATGATTAGTGATCAGCTTTGTTATCTCAATCCTGATGTCACTCTTTAAAAACGCGTAAACGAAAGGATTTACCGCCGAGTTTATAATTAGCAGAAGCTGGACTCCTTGTGCAGCCTCATGTACGACACGAGTAGAGAACATAACCCACAAAATCATTCCATTTACAGCTAAGTGGCAGAGGAAGAATAAAATAACGATGGCAATCACGAAGTGCGCTTTGTTCTGCCTCTGATGTTTGGGAATACTTGTTTCTTCACAAAATGTTTGGGTAGACTGCACTTGTAGCTTGACAGAGAATTCCCTGTAAGCCTGCATACGTGCGACTCTGAATATACGAACAACTGCGTATAAAAGCAACGCACCTGATATTAAATCGAATGCCGAAACACCAGTCAATCGAAGAACTATTAGCGCGGTGTTCGACTTCGCAATGTATAAACCCACCAAAAGGGTCAGAAAAATCGCGAAGGGGACCAACCATGCCGACAAGATAACCGTTTTTGTGCGTCTCTCAGTCACGGAACTTTTGTAGCTGAAAGGGTATACGATGTAGGAGTAACGATTCCATGTCAATGCGCAAAGATTCGTTACCGAAGAGTGCACAAAGAACCAGAAAAATGGTGTGTACAATTTGAAGTTACAACCTAAGCTAGTACAAAAATAGGCCAGTGGATAAGCAACAGCTCCGACCAAAAAATCGGCCATTGCCAGGGAAAGAACCAACCAGTTGGCTGAGGAATGAAGTCGGCGTTTTTTGGCGACGAGAAAGATCACAAAGCCATTTCCCACGGCTGTAGAAACTGAAAAGAGCCAACCGAAAAAACCTAACCACTTTTCCATTCCAACTGCAGCTGTTTGTTCGAGAGTGCTTTTTTCTGTTCTCAGAATTTTAAGACAATATTAGGCGAGGTGACCGAACTTTCTTTACCATCCAACTCTAACGCTTTTATAACACCTGGTGTTGTTGTTTGAAGACACCGTCTCTCTTGAGGGTTCTTTAGAATTAATTGGGTTTCTAGAACATGATCTTTTTTTTCCTCATATGGTATTATGAATGACAAAAGTAATTGCTCCTGGCTTTGAATTATCAGTATAATGTTGTCCCGGAAACCAGCTTTGAAGTCACGTACATAACTGTCAGAGGTTCTCTAATCAGATCCATCAAGATCTCCGCATTGTAATGCAAAATATTATCTCGCCCCCAGCACTGCAGGAGTTTTCGTTTTTTTTATCAGCTCAAAGCTCAAAGGTGACTTTCGATCAAATCATTTAATTCTTATCAAACTTTGCTCTAGGTTACCGCATAGAAAGCAGAACATTATCGTAAACAAAATTATTCCTTGCGTCACGAATCAAATTATAGCAAATGAAGTTTTGAAAAGTGCATTTCCGATTTCGAGAACTCATCGAAAACGAAAGTACTAATGAAAAAAACTCGTAATTTGTATTTCCCTTAAAGAACGTTTAATTTCCCTTGCTGCCAGAAAAAGGTTTCTTGTATGCCTTTTATAATTAACAAGCGAGGCTTTAAGGCGTCAAACTGTTCATACAGTCTTTTCAGAATTAAAACCCGGCAGATGTCAAGAAAGATACAAAAAAACATATACGCTAAGAAAAGATAAGGAAATGAAGGAAACGAATAATTAAATAAATATACCGACTTTTTGCTGAACTTGAATCCTCTCTAAAAAGTTTCATATTAGATGCGAAATTCTTAAAAAAATCAAATAACAATTATGGATAAAAAACAGGAAAAACAAAAGCAGTACTTGAATAAGCACCATTAGTGTTATTCCGGCGGCCAAAATGTAAGTTTAAATTGAAAACTAACTTGAGATCAAATTAGATCACATATATTTTCCGCATCACCTACTTCTTGGAACAGGCGCTTTCTTTTTTCGTGCTTGATTAATTTTTCCTAGGATAAAATTTACTTTCAGGCGCCGTTTACATGACCGTTCACAGCAAAGCAATGAGGATAAATCTTTTGTCAAACTGGCTCGCTTTAAGCGTCTTAAGATGTTCAGGCACTTGAGTGGAAAGGTTCGTCTTGAACGAAAACAATTCCTTCATTCGAAATTTCCTGTTTTAGTTTTTGGATAGAGCCAATTGAAGATCCGACAAAAGACGTCAAAATATTTGTTTTGAAAAGAATAAATTGTTAGTAACACTTGCGCATATTAGATTTATCGTATTCACAGGAGATAAGAAGCGACGTTGTTTTTTCCTCTGAGCAGCAGTGATTTTGCCAGTTGAGCAATAAAGTAAATATATCATAAACAAGCTGAATTATTTTATTGTCAAACCTCCCATTCGGGCCAATTCTCTCTATCGCTTCAAGAGAGAAAAAAAGAGAATTATTAAAAGTATATGTAACCCTGTTACCGGATAGTCTGTAAGGTAAATGACTTAATCTTTTTTTCACCATTTCATGTTCTAGGCGAAGAAAAATTAAAAATAATGTTCTTATATTTTCAAGCTATTGTCTCATCAAGTAGTTTCCTTTCGACAAGCGTAGTTATTCTCAGACTCTAACCCGTTTTGCGTGTTTGGGTACACGAGAAGCTCGGGTAACTGCTACAACCGGATGTTGAAAATTTCCCATATCCGATGGTCTATCCGTTATATCCCATGATTCCTTTGCGCTGAAGCGCATACGTCAAGTTTCAGGGAGGGAGGGACATTCTGGGTTTAGTACTTCAGAACAGGGCGGAGAGAGGTTCTCTAGGGTAAAAACAAATTACAAATTTTTTTTTCATCGGCACTTCAGATGTTTCTCACGTCGTTCACCGTAATTAAACGATATTTAATTTTAGCAAGACATTCAATGAAATTTCCGGCCACCTATTCCATCTTAATTAATAGCACGTAATGAGTGCACCTCTCTAAATCATAATCTTTGCGAGTTTTCGATTTTCTGCAGAGTGTATTGACAAGATGAACCACAGTAAACCGGTATTCTATGTTTGCCACTCTTGACAGAAACAAGATCATGAGAACAAATTTCGTCATACAGGACTTTAAAACTTCAAACCGTTGTAACAACATCTCCGCATACTGCAAGCAAACAGCTGTGGTTCGCGTATTTATTTAAACGGTTATGTATAATAGTGCACTTTGATACACCAAAATCTGCTGAACAATTGGATGAGGTAGAAAATGGAAAATGAACTCAGCTCCTATAAGCCCGGTACGCCTCCAGTTAGATATCTGCACGCGCATTATCATCTGCTTCCTGTTCACAAGAATTATCCCGTGACGTTGTGTGACATGAACGACTTTAGCAGAGAAAGTGATCCCGTTCAGGTAGGTGTAGTAGCAACCCGTACATTGCGATAGGTCAGCAGCAAACCGCAACCCGCAACCCGCAACCCGCAACCCGCAACCCGCAACCCGCAACCCGCAACCCGCAACCCGCAACCCGCAACCCGCAACCCGCAACCCGCAACCCGCAACCCGCAACCCGCAACCCGCAACCCGCAACCCGCAACCCCCAACCCGCAACCCGCAACCCGCAACCCCCAACTCGTGACTAGTGAGCCGCATAACTCAGGTAATCTCCATACTTGTACCGTTGCACTTATGTCCTCTTATTGCAGATATGTCCTCTGACGTAATGTGATACAGTGGCCAATCATATCCTGCGATCTATCGAGCGACACGCGGCTTGGGACTGGTTAAGAGACTCCGTTGTGGTTATGTCTTCAAGCGAAAGCACTCATTCAAGGGGGTCGGGATAAGTGGAAAATTTGACCAGTATTTTCCGGTAACTGATCTGAGGAAAACATGCTGTTTGCATGATCACTGCGAACCGGATCATTGGCCTCTCATATTGCTTTCCTTGAAGTTCTATCGTTCGTTGACGCAGAGTGATCGCATCGTTTTTATAACCTAAACTTGGAAGAACAATTTGCTGCGCGTGAATAACAAAGCGACTTTCGACCAAAGGATGCATTATTGTTCACGTTTTATTTGCAGCCTTGCTTTATTTACAGTCTTCATTGCTCGACTTGCGACGTCAATGACAACATTTTAGCCACAAGCTAAGACAAAAGCACAATGTGGCGTCATATCACAATTGCTTTATTTTCTTTAATAGTTGAAAATCATAGATTATGGTTCGTCGACATAAAATTATATATTTTTGACACTTCACCTGATCTGCCGGAGGTGAGATCGACTGAGAGGTCCAAGTTGTGATTATTTGTCTGCGTCACGATGTCTTCCTTCAATCACAGAAGTTTGGCCTTCAGTTGTTTATTTTATTTATTTATCCCGTTTTTCTAGAATTCATTGGAAAAAAAATGGAAAATCGGGTTGAAGATTGGATATGGCAACTTGGGATCTATTCCATTTGGAGAATAACTTTTCAGATTTTATCCTGTTTTTTGTCAAATTAACTGAAAAAAATGGAAAATCGGAATAAAAATAGTATATGGGAACTTCGGGTATTATTCACTTGTAGCATGAATGCTCAGAATTTACCCTGTTTTTCTCGAATTCACTTATCAAATGGAAAATCGGGGTAATGATGGCATATGGGAACTTAGCGTATTGCTATCACTTGCGGGATGAGTTCGCAGAATTTTCCTCGTTTTTCTAGAATTCATTGAAAAAAAAAAAAGGAAAATCGGGTTGAAGATAGCATGTGGGAACTTAGGGTACGATTCACTTGTAGTATGAATGCTTAGAATTTACCCTGTTTTTCTCGAATTCACTGATCAAATGGAAAATCGAGGTAAAGATAGCATATGGGAACTTAGCATATTGCTTTTACTTGCGGGATGAACTCGCACAATTTATCCCGTTTATCTAGAATTCGATGAGAAAAAAGCATTGAAAATCGGGTTGAAGATTGGATATGACAACTTAGGATCTATTCCATTTGAAGGATGAATTCTCAGATTTTACCCCGTTATTCTATAGAATTTTCAGAAAAAAAATGGGAAATCGGAGTAAAGATAGCATATGGGAACTTCGGGTATTATCCACAATTTACCTCTTTTTTTTTCTAAAATTCACTGATCAAATGGAAAATTGGGGTGAAGATGGCATATGGGAACTTACGGTATTAGCTACTTGCGGGCCAAATTCTCAAAATTTACCCCGTAATTCTAGAATTCATTGAAAAAAAAAGAAAAAAATGCGAAATCGGATTAAAGATTGGATTTGGCAACCTAGGATTTATTCCACTTGAAGGACGAATTCTCAGAATTCATCCCGCTTTTCTAGAATTCATTGAGAAAAGAAACTTTTTTTTAAAATTTGTAGTTTTTCCTCTTTTTTTCATTTTTAAGTAAGACTAGCGAGCCGCACAAAGAAACACTTCTTGTAGTTGTAAGCTCCTCGTTTATTTCCGATGCGTTTCGTCTCTAATTGAGACTTCTTTAGAGAATGACTACAATTAACAGGGAACAGTATATTACATAGCACGTTGGTGTGCCTAAGTTTTTAATTTCCATGGAAGTTAATAATAACTGAAAGCGGGCGTTATAAAAAACGTCTAAATACATATTAAGTTATTGTGCGTTGCTTTATTTTGGGGGCTAACGATTAGCGCTAATCGTAGAATTTATCGCTGAAAAAAGAAATGGAAAATTGGGGTAAAGATGGCATATGGGAACTAAAGTTGTTATCCACTTGTAGCATGTTCTCTCAGAATTTACCCCGTTTTGCTAGAATTTATTGAAAAAAAAAAATGGAAGGCAAGTCAGTAGGATAAATTCCACTTGGAGGATGACTTTTCAGAATGAATTCCGTTTTTCTATAATCATTGAAAAAAATGGAAAATCGGGGTAAACTAGATTAGATGTGGCAGGTCAATAGGACATATTCCAGTTGGAGGATAATTTACTAAAATTTGCCCCGTTTTTCCATAATTCCTTGAAAAAAATTGAAAAATCAGAGTAAAGATGGCATATGGGAACTACAGGTTTTATCCACTTGTAGCATGAATTCTCAGAGTTTACCCTGTTTTTCTGGAATT